ACAGTTGGGGTGTAAATTATTGGCATTACATTCATTATGTTTTGATGAAAATATTTGAAAAATAAATTTCTATTTAAATCCTAAAAAAAAATTTTAAATAAAAATAAATGTATATTTGGTTGCCTAAAAATAATTTTAATTTAAAAATGTCAATAAAATAGAAATTATATCAAATTTTTGGTATAATTCAAGAATCATCATGTCGCTTAAAAATCGACAATTTTTTTTTTAATCGATGGGAAATGACTCAAGTAAGCCGTTACAAATTATAAAAAAGTGCGGAAGAGTGTAAAACTTACCGAAAAATCACTTTAAAGTTTCGACGTGACGTCACTTTTTGTGATCCAAGCCGACTTGAGAAACGTGCGGCTGAACCCGAATATTTCTAATTCTGGTGTTAGTTCTAGTTTTAAATGTAGTAAGCGTTAGATTGTGGTATACAGGGTGCGGCAAAACTCCCTCCCTAATTTGAAAGTTGAATAAAAAACAGATGGTACAAATTAACGAAACTGTATTAACACGAATGGAATCTACAAAATGGGAAATTACATTATTATGTTTTACAAGTTTTTTTTTTAACAGTATATCGCTCAAGTGTTTTCCTTCGTTATCAATGCATTGCCGAATGCGAGTTCGGAAGTTACCGTTATTGGAGTGCACAAAACCCTCGGAAACTCCATAAAAAGCCTCTGCATAGACGTGTTACCGTGTGGTGAGTGATTAACAGTGTCGGGATCATCGCCCCGTACTTTTTTGAAGAAGGAGGAGTGGCAGTGACCGTTAACTCGAATCGATACATTCAAATGCTTCAAACTTTTATGACACCACGATTCAATGCGATGCAGACCAGGATGTGTGGCTTCAGCAGGACGGGGTCACTGCTCACACAAGCAGGAGATCTCTTCAAGAACTGAGACAGCTGTTTCCAGAACGCTTGATGTCTTTGCGCGAACATCCACTAGTCAGTACGATCTCCCTGTGATTTTTTTGTATGAGGGTTTCTTAAGACTGAAGTTTATAAACATCATCCCTACGACAAACGATTCAAGAAGACATTGCTCGCATTCCTCAAGAAATGTTGATTAGAGTAATGGCGAACTTCCGAACTCGCATTCGGCAATGCATTGATAACGAAGGAAAACACTTGAGCGATATACTGTTCAAAAGGAGGAACTTGTAAAACATAATAACGTAACTTCCCATTCTGCAGATTCCATTCATGTTAATACAGTTTCGTTAATTTGTACCATCTGTTTTTTATTCAACTTTCAAATTAGGGAGGGAGTTTTGCCGCACCTGTATTTTTATTGAAAGAAAAGTAAAACTAACACAAGTTTTCGGGACACGTAATGTGTGGACTCAGGATGGAACTATCTTCGTTAAAACTACTGATGACACAAAACATAAAATTCTTTACCGAGTAGACCTTTATTCCCTTATGGATGCTTATCAGTGTAACTCCTTGTCTAATTGTGATTCAGTAATTCAAGTAAATAAACCTTCCCCCAGACGTACAAGACAGATGATTTGTGTTTTTTTTATTATTAACTAGCTGTACCCTGCGCGCGTTGCTACACCACCAACTAAAATAAATTTGAAGGAAAGACATTACGCAAATATTCAATTCATTTTGAGTCATTTTATTGATTTAGTTCATTTTGAAAAAATTGTGACACTGCAGCGTTTCGTTTCAATTCGATATGTATTGAAGTGCTGTGGGATACAGAATATTTCTTGTTTTTCCATCTGTTGTGTAAACGAATAAATCAGAAGGTTTTCCGACGCGTGAGCAGGCCACATAGAGCTGCCCATGTGAGAAGCATGGATTCTCCAAATTTAATCCACACACTTGCAACGATTGTCCTTGTGCTTTGTCAATAGTTATTGCGAAAGCGAGTCGCACCGGGAACTGCAAACGTTTGAATTCAAATGGCATATCTGCCGAGATCATTGGGATACGTTTTCATCTTTGAATTTTCCAGTCAAAATTGTTGCCTCGATAACATTGTTCATCATTTTCTTGACTGAGAATCTAGTTCCGTTGCAAAGTCGTGGTGGATTTATGTTTTGAAGAATAATGATGAGTACGCCAATTTTAAATGTAAGAACGTGCGGTGGCATGCCTGGCAAATCAAGCGAATTCAAGAATTCAGTTGGATAGTTGACAACTTCGTCTTGATTCACCACAGTATCGATGAACTTATATGTTGTCGTTTCGCCGTGTATTCCATTCTGAATGGTGAAGTTGATGGTATTGACATCGATGTTTTTGGCCGCTAATATAGCACGCGTACTGAGCCACTGATGATTTTTGTAATTCTGTGTAATGTTTGGCAAAACTTTTTGCACCAATTCGTGTATGCTTTCTGTGATCTTACAGAAGTTTGCTGGCAAGGGGATACATTGCGTAGATTCATCAATTTGCATTCGCCCATTTCCAATATCCATTAATTGTTTTGCAAAATTTTTAGCTGATGCATCCCGTTGTAGTTGTACGCGCATGTTGGTTTTCAAAGTCAATGCCTGTAAATGACGCCATAAAACTGATGATTTGAGACATGCATTAAGTTCATCAGGGAGTGTTAAACGTGCTATAACCGGCAGTGTTTGTCGAAAATCACCAGACAATAAAATGAGTGCGCCACCGAAGATCCGTGCGTTTCCTCTCAAATCTCGCAGTGTACGATCAAGCGCTTCCAATGCTTTCTTGTGAGACAGTTTGGAGTACTTTTCCCATTTTTTTGCTGATGATGCATGTTGGTGCCTCAGTGTATTGCAAATTCAACGGCAGTTTCAATGCTGAATGCGTTGTTCGGCCACCACCCAAAAGAGTTGCCACAATTCCAGATGATGCAATGGCCAGTGCAATATTATTTACTGTAATCATTATTACTATCATAATGGAATGCACCAAGATTTAAATCAGCGTGCAGAGCGGTGCTTATTCGAACGTTTTGCAGTCTTCTTTCCCGTTGTTCAGTAGTCTCAGACGAGCGGGCCTGAGTAGTACGTACTCGATCAGTTTCTAACCTCACTTCTCGTTGTTCAGATGATTCAGACGAACGACGTGAAAAATGCGTTTGAATTGTTGTCAATCAGCAATCCGAATCTCACAATGTATCCACACACGGATGGAAATGTTAATATTGACGGTGATCACCAATTCGCTGAGGAAAATTTGAAGTGAAAAATATCAGCATTCGTGAATTGTCGAAAATTGGTCGTACCAACTTAGAAACCTTCGTGGGCTCATGCACAACAACTTTGCTAAAGATCATCACATGATCAAATGCATAGTTTACGATTCTATAAAGGACATACAGACAAACATTCATTTTTATATATACACTGTGTCCCCGG